GTAGTAGTAGTAGTAGTAGTAGTAGTCGCCGTAGGCGTCGTAGTAGTCGTAGAAATAGTAGGTGTGGCAGTATGTGTGGTGGTAGTAGCAGTCGCAGTTTTAGCAGCAGCAGCAGCAGCAGCAGCAGCAGCAGCAGCAGCAGCAGCAGCAGCAGCAGTAGTAGTAGTAGTAGTAGTAGTAGTAGTAGTAGTAGTAGTAGTAGTAGTAGTAGTAGTAGTAGTAGTAGTAGTAGTAGTAGTAGTAGTAGTAGTGTAGTTAGTAGTAGTAGTAGTAGTAGTAGTAGTAGTAGTAGTAGTAGTAGTAGTAGTAGTAGTAGTAGTAGTAGTAGTAGTAGTAGTAGTAGTAGTAGTAGTAGTAGTAGTAGTAGTAGTAGTAGTAGTAGTAGTAGTAGTAGTAGTAGTAGTAGTAGTAGTAGTAGTAGTAGTAGTAGTAGTAGCAGTAGCAGTAGCAGTAGCAGTAGCAGTAGCAATAGCAGTAGCAGTAGCAGTAGCAGTAGCAGTAGCAGTAGCAGTAGCAGTAGCAGTAGCAGTAGCAGTAGCAGTAGCAGTAGCAGTAGTAGTAGTAGTAGTAGTAGTAGTAGTAGTAGTAGTAGTAGTAGGTCCCATAGAGCTCCTCTGCATGTCCCAGTAGGTCCTATAGAGCCCTCGATAGGAGTGCCCAATGGGTCTTACAGAGCCCCTAATCGAGTGCCCGATGGGTTTTTTAGAGTCCCTAATCGATTGCCCACTGGTCCTACAGAATCCCATATCGAGTGCCTAGTGGGTCCTCTAGAGCCCTTAATGGAGTGCCCAGTGGGTCCCATAGAGCCCCTATACAGTACCCAGTAGGTCCCACGGAGCCCATAATAGAGTGCCAAGTGAGTCTTATAAAGCCACTATACATGTCCCAGTAGGTCCCAATGAAACTTTATACATGTCCCAGTAGGTCCCATATAACTCCTATAGATGTCCGAGTAGGTTCCATAGAGCCCGTATACATGTCCCAGTAGGTCCCATAGAGCCCGTGTGCATTTCCCAGTAGGTCTCATAGAGCCCGTATACATTTCCCAGAAGGTATTATAGAGCCCCTATTCATGCCCCAGTAGGTGCTATAGAGCCCGTATACATGTCCCGGTAGGTCCTGTAGAGCTCCTATACATGTCCCAGTAGGTACTATAGAGCCCCCATACATGTCGCAGTAGGTATTCTAGAGCCCCTATACATGCCCCTGTCGGTCCTACAGAGCCCTTAATAGAGTGCCCAGTAGGTCCCATAAAGCCCTTATAAGTTTCCCAGTGGATCCTATAGAACCCTGACACATGTCCCAATATGTCCTATAGAGCCCTTTCCACTTCTCAGAAGGTCCTGTAGAGCCCTTGTAATTTCTCAGTAGGTCGTGGATGTCAGAGGAGCAGCCCGTTCGGCTGGTGCGCACATCGAAGTTCTGCACAGCATCTCAGCGGGATGCTCTTAGCTATTTGTTTACAAAGCCTTGTGGTGGCAGCGGACGTTGCGGAGTTGCAGTTGCGCCCCCCCTTCGCAACTGGGGGCAGGGCATTAGGGTCCTGGCTTCGCCTCAGTGGGAAGGCCGGAAACCTTGCGCCCTGGGGGGCAGGGCAGCAGGAACCCGTCCTTACTTTGTTTTTGTTGTTGTTGTAGTTGTTGTTGTTGCTGTTGTTTTTGTTTCATTTGCATTTCTGAAGAATTATTATAGTTGATCCCCCCCGTCCGGTGCGCATGGTTTTTTTCGATTGAAGTGCCCTTTCCCGGGGCTCGCATCCTTTTTTATAAAAAGGGGAAGTCTTGAGTGTCAAACTGAGTCGTTGGCCCCCGGTTTACAGCAACAGCGGCTCCCGCTTGATATTTCTTCACGATTTATTGAAGAGTCGCGCTCTCGCGTGGGATTTCCGTGCAACTTACCACCGGATCGCGGCTCCCGCTTGATACGTCCTTGCAATTTATTGAAGAATCGCGCTCTCACTCGGGGCTTCCGCGTTCCTCTCGATACTTTTGCAGTTCTCATGATCCTTCCGCCCCACTCTCCCAACCTCCCGCTTCTTTTCAGGGTTCACGAAATTTGTTTTTGACACCAGTTCGCAGCTGTACGTCCCCCCGTGGGGGTATCCACGATCTGTTCATTGAAGGGGGTGGTACGTGGCGCTGTTTACGGCGCGACACATGGCGAAACTTATTGTTGACCTGTGTTGGAGTGGCTGGCGCAAACCATGGCGCAAACTTAATCGCCATTCGCAGCGCAAATCATTGTCCTCCCTCCTTCTTGCCCCTCCCCCCCTTTTCCGCCGTTCCCCTCGTCCTCATTTTCCCCCGTTATGTGTTACCCTTCGTTTTCAATGGTTTCACCAACCACACTTGGTAGGGAATGAATCTACCCCAAAAAAGGGTTACGATCGAAGTCGAAGAGGGCGTGCATCCACTGTTTGGGATATGCACATTGAATGACACGCGGGCGCATAATAGCGAACTCTCTTAACATGATTGTTGTTGTTGTTGTTGTTGTTGTTGTTGTTGTAATTGTTGTTGTTGTTGTTGTTGTTGTTGTTGTTGTTGTTGTTGTGGTTGTGGTTGTTGTTGTTGTTGTTGTTGTTGTTGTTGTTGTTGTTGTTTGTTGATGCGGTTGCTGCTGTTTATGCTGCTGGTGTTGCTGCTGCTGTTTCTGCTGCTGGTGCTGATGTTGTTGTTGTTGTTGTTGTTGTTGCTGTTGTTGTTATTGTTGTTGTTGGTGTTGTTGTTGTTGTTGTTGATGTTGTTGTTGTTGTTGTTGTTGTTGTTGTTGTTGTTGCTGCTGCTGCTGCTGCTGCTGCTGTTGTTGTTGTTGTTGTTGTTGTTGTTGTTGTGGTTGTGGTTGTTGTTGTTGTTGTTGTTGTTGTTGTTGTTGTTGTTGTTGTGGTTTATGTTGTTTTTGTTGTTGTTAATGCTGTTTTTGTTGTTGTTGTTGCTGATGCTGTTGTTGTTGTGTTATATTTTTCTCAGCGTGGACCGTAAATCATCGAGAAAGAATGAGCCTGCTAACATTAATAATGCGATGAAGACGTGGCCTCGCTGGGGCCCCCGTGTTTGCATTGAGGAGGATAAGGTTGGATGGTTTGGTTCGGTTCGATACACCTGCAGAACAAAACCCCCTTTTGACCCTGATGTTTTTGGCCTTTCTGTCTTAGGTCCACCTCCAAAGGGCTAGGGGTCCCTTTTGGTTACTCCGAATTTCATATTAATCAACTGGGGGGTCACAGACGTGAAAACGCGGCGCGGCCAACCACCCTCGGCACCACCCCCGCGCCCCAGCGGGGAAGGGAACGAACCCCAGACCCCCCGTGGCACCCCCGCAGGCGCGCCGCGGCCAACCCCCCCTGGCACCCCAAGGGGGGGGGCGATGGTTCAGCGATCCAGAGCGTTCAGTGGAGGAGCACTCTTGGGTCGTCGTGCAAGAAAATGCGCGCACGACGCCGACCAAAGGCACGGAAGCTGGCCGCCCGAGCGCTGGCGAGCTGCCGGCACGGCCGCACGGGGGCGAACGGCGGCGCCGCGGGCCGGGGGGGCGCGGCGCCCAGAGACGCCGCGCGGCGGTGCGCGCCACTCCTCGGCCCCCCTCGGCCCGGGGCCTCCCCTCGGGCGCCTCCCCTCGGAGGTGCAGTTCTACGGAGCGTTCTCTCTGGGGGGAGGGCAGGGGGTGGAATCTGAAATGCCGTTTCGATGGGCCTTCGAGGCCTGAGTCTGCAGAAAAGAGGATCACAAGACGGCCTGATCTTCGGGGTGCAAACGCCCATGTGGACTCCACCCTGAGCCCTCCACCCCAAGAAGATGCTCAGACAGTTCTAGGCCTCCTAGATGGGGTCGGAGTAGATGGGGTCGGAGGATCGCGCCGCATCGCCGATGCATCGCCGATGCGGCTCGATGTGGAGCCCAATTTGCTTCACGTCGACGTCGTCGACGTATCGCCCGCGTCGACGATGCATCGCCGGTTCACCGCCGATGCATTGCCGATGCGTCGCCGATGTATCGGCGATGCGGCGCGATCCTCCGACCCCATACACTCCGACCCCATCTAGGAGGCCTTTAACAGTGGAGGGTCATGCCAAGAAGCACCCTGCTTGCCACCAGGGTGCCCTGGGCTTCCTGGGTTTCGAGGGTTTTGCGTCGGAAGGCGTGATGTTCCCACGCCGCAAATCGATGGACGTCCTGGAGTATTAGGGTCAGGTTTCTCGTGGAAGGTTTCTTGTGGACTGGCCTCCACTGTAAGACTCGGGTGCGCCAGGACTCGGGTTTGCCGACGTTTTTTTGGACGAGCGCGCCTTGGATTTTGCCGCTCCATTTTTTCTTGGGATGTCTGCAGCAGGAGCTCGCGTCAAACTTCAGATCGAGGCTCGTCATTTCCATGATGGCCCCGTCAGGCCAACCCGAGTCCCCCGAATCCGAGTCTTACTTCTCCCCGGACCAACACCAACATCGGCGGCGTGCGCCATGATCCCGATCCCGGCGGTGGTGGTAACACTCGGGCTTCTGGGTGGCCGCAGGGCTACCACCAACACCCGCATCTTGGATTAAGTCGGGCCTGTCCCTCTACAGGAGGAAAATATCAACATTGTCAAAACACAGTACTGGGACGATTTTGTGAGTGTGTTTTTATTTGTTGGATACGTTTTGACTATTTCGACTGTTTCCTCGAACCTCGGCCTGTAGGGGGACAGGCCCGACCCAAATCTACAAGCCTCGTCATAAATAAACAGAAACGCAGTTGGAAATCACGACGATCGATCTTCTCGGGCACTTGATAGAAACTGCGTTCTTCAATGCTGCGGAGGGGTCGTCGGATTTTTGAAGCCCTTGCGTCCACGTCAGATATCTAGCGTCAGCATTGGAGTAGCGCTGACCATGCAATCACCGAAAACAGAATCCCTCAGTTTATTTTGGACGAGGGTTGTAGGATCATCTTTTCCCCCCGTGCTGGTCTTGGTGCCCCTTTCCCAGGCCTCCCGTCCTCGCGTCGTGTGCGCTGCCCGCCCTCGCAGCCGCTCCGGGCTCCGCCGTGCTGCCGCCCCCGCCCCGACCTGCCGCCCTGCCCTCTTGGCATCCCCAGGGGCCTCCCCGCGCCCCGGGGGCGCCGATGCCCCGCGGGCCGCTGGACCCGCTGGACCCGCCCGAGGGCGCGTGCCCGCCGCGGGCGTTCTGCGGAGCAGCCGAGCTCGAGGCGGTCCGGGCACAGCGAAGGAGCACAGCTCAGGCATTTGGACGCACGAAATGGGTACTGAAAGAATGGGTACGATACCCAACAGCGGATCCTGTTCATTTTGAACAGGGCTCGCTGTCCACGCCGCTGCGGCCTGTGTCCATTCGAGACAGAAGGCCGCCTGTCCAACAGCGGCCGCTGTTGGTTTGGGACAACATTTGCTGTTGGGCATGTTGCCCATTCTTTCGGTACCCATTTCGGGTGTCCAAAGCGGCGAAGCGTCCTGGCGTGCTTATAGGCCTGCCAACAGATGTTCTGAGAACTGTTCGTGGTCTGCGCGAGATGTTCTCGGAGCAGTTCTGGCTGGGGCTGTCTTGTTCTTAACACATCGGGCTGATGTTTTAAGAGCATCATTTTCGTTCTTGGAGCGCTTCTGGGTTCTAAGACGCTTCGTGGTACGCCTACAGACATGCCGGGACGGTCGGACCCTACTCGAAGAACGGAGCGGATTTTTCGCAGGGCCCTCCGTGGAAGAGCCCGCCGACCTCGACAGGAACACTCTGGCTGTGGCCGTGGTCGATGTTGCCCTCGTGGGGCGCCACGCCGAGCACAGCCAGCACCGAGCTGGCTCCGGTGTTCGGAAGGCTGCGGGCATGCGCAGGACATCCCCCAGGGGTGTGATGCTCGGTGTGGCTGTCGCCGCCCGCCTTCCCCGCAGGGGCGCGGCGTGGGAGGGCGGGGGTCGACCGCGGATGCGTCGGGAGTGGACAGAGCCCCCAACAGTGACACGTCGATTCGTGAATTGTCCGTTTTCGGTTCTCGAGAGGGCGCCGTGGCCGTCATTTTCCAGGCTGGCGCCCTCCAGGTTTGGGCCTCGGGTCTTTTTCACTAAACCACGTGTTACTAAAGGGGGGTCTGTCCATCCCCGAATGCGTTGGTGTTCAAGCCGCCCGCGCAGAGCCGATCCTGAGCGCCCTCTTTCCCGCACGAAGTTTCGTGTGTGCGTCGCCTGCGCCGGCCACCGCGTCGGGTCGCCCCTGTCATCGTGCGTGAGGCTCCACCTCCTCCTCCTCCTCCTCCTCCTTTTCGTCGCCCAGGCGCCCCTGAGCGGAACCTGCGAATGGGCGGGGTGCTCCGGCTCGCGCCGAGTGCGGTGGTGGCGCCGGGCTTGGAAGCTACACGCGGCCGCAGGGGCCGTCGCGGCCTTGCTGAGCGCGGCGCTGGCGCTGGCCATCTGGCGCAGCGCTGGGCTGCAGTCGGCGCAGAGCCGGGCACCGGAGGCGCCCACGATGGCGAGCAAGGCCGCCGAGGACCTGCCGGGTCTCCAGGCGACCGGCCCAAAGGCGATCGATGCGCCCGGGCTGTCTCTGGCAGGACGGGCGGCCGGGCTCGAGCGGGTGGTGGCGGCCACGACCGCGACGTCGACAACGACCAGGGCCGTGTCGCTCTTCTGTTTCTCCGTGATGGTGTCCGGCGAGTGGGAGCGGGAATTGGTGACATTTCAGCTGCAGGCCAGCGCGGGGATCTTCGCCTGCGACCGCACGGTAGTCTTCAGCGACGGTCCGAGCCTGGCTCTGGGGAGGGACGCCGAGGGCAACGATGCTGCCACGTGGCCGCTACGACCCACTTCGGAAGCGCCAGATTCGCGGGGGCTGGCTCCCTCTTCCAGGACCGCATCCCGGCTGAGCGCCACCGCTCTCGCACGGGCCTTTGACGAGCTGATCGGGGACGAGCTGGGCGCCATGTGGGCCTACGACTGGCTGGTGAAGGCGGACTTGGACACGGTCTTCTTCCCGGATCGCCTTCGCCTCCACCTCGCCGACCACGGGCGCGGCGCTCGCTACCTCCTCGGCTGTACTCCCCGGCTGCCCGCCCGCGCTCGGCTGCACGGGGCGTTGGCTGCCTTCTCGGCGCCGGCGATGGAGGCTTGTGGACAACGAGTGCGGGCAATAGTTATATCCACATCCAGTGCGTCTTGGATTCTTGGGCTCTCTTCCCCAGAAATCGTAGACGCACTGGATATGGATACAATTCTGGCCCCAAGAGGCTTGATTTTATACATATCCAGTGCGCCTCGGCGTTGCGGCACCTCTTCCCAAAAAGTCCACGACGCTCTGGATGTGGATAGAAGTACTGCCCGCAACGAGCAGTGGTCGGCACGAACGACACGGGTGCAGAAAGAATGGGTACAATGCCCCAAAGCAGTTCTTGCTCATTTTGAGCAGGACTCGCTGTCGGTGCCGCCGCGGCCGGTGTACATTCGAGACAGAAGGCCGGCTGCCCAACAGTGGCCGCTGTTGGTTTGGGACAACATTTGTTGTTTGGCATTGTACCCATTGTTTCCGTACCCATTTCGGGTGTCCAAAAATGGAGAGGAAGCATGTTGCCAAATAGTTTCCAGATGTCAGAAAATCTTTATGTCTTAAACATTAGGAACAAAAACAGGTTTCTAACATTTCAGATCATGCTTCAAGCATTTCAAACACGTTTTTAGTCCAATGATCGGATTGTTAGTGTGTCCATTGTCATGGCGCCCGCAAGTGGAGGCGTACCGGAGGGGCGCGGCGAGGTGTGGCCTGGAGCTCGGGCAGCCTGGCCGCGAGGAGGGCGCGGTGCCGCGGCCGGCCCGGGAGGGGGACGCGGTCATGCAGCAGTGCCTGGAGCTGCTCGGGGTGGAGGGCCTGTCGCATCTCGCCGTCCTGGCGGACGAGGAGTGCGTCCCCGCCCCGTGCTCCGACAACTGGAGGGCTGCGTTCCACCCCTACAGGGACGTCTCGAGCTGGGTCGGCTGCTGGCACTGGTCCAACCAGGCAGGACAGCAGCACGGGTCTCGCCTGTAGCGTTCTGCGAGGACGCGGGGTCAGGGACTTAGCAGCGGTTGTGCGGTGCTCCTCCGGAAGCACCAGCAGTAGATAGGTCTTTTTCTTGCCCAGACGTGATAAGCGTGCTGGCGTTCAACCTCACGGTATGTAAATATCCAGCTGCCT